GACTGCCTAGGCACTTCCTATTTCATAGCCAGGCGGCGATTTATAAACCTGGAACGTCGCTTTCGCAAGCAACCGGAACTTAAGTCCGCCTATGTTGATTTCATTGAGGAGTATCGCAAACTAGGACATCTAGCAATATCTGAGGTAGACCGACCTGAGCTTGCCTATTTTGTTCCGCATCATCCTGTCATTCGTGAAGACAGTGAGTCAACACGTCTACGCGTCGTTTTTGACGCATCAGCTCGCACTTCATCTGGTTTGTCTATAAACGACATTCAAATGATAGGCCCTACAGTTCAAGACTCTCTTTTCAATATCCTCATCCGGTTCCGGCAATATCGTTATGTGTTGTCAGCGGATATTGAAAAAATGTACCGGCAGGTTTTAATAGATGAGTCTGACCGAAACCTACAGCTGATTTTATGGCGTGATGCGGAGGACAAACCATTACAAACACTCAGGCTTAACACGGTCACCTACGGATTTGCTAGCGCTAGTTTCCTTGCCACCAGGTGTCTCTGGCAAGTGGGCGAGGAGTGTGACGATGACGTTATTAAGGCAGTCATACAGGAGGACATATATGTTGATGACTTACTAACTTCTAGCGATGATGAAGATCAATTACGGTCTATACAGAAATCAACACATGTGGCTCTTTCTATGGCTGGTTTTGACTTGCGTAAGTACCGATCCAACTTACCTTCTTTACTGCCTTCAGACGTTGTCCAGTCATCCGGCAACCTGACATTGAGTCAGTCTACAAATACGCTGGGCCTAGATTGGAGTCCTTCGACCGACAGCATTAATTTTCCCATTACAGTGGATCAGTCTGACGTCGTCACCAAGCGCACTATACTTTCTTCAACTTTCAAGATCTTCGATCCCTTGGGCCTCCTATCCTTGTCCACTATCGTTCCCAAAATTTTAATTCAGACCTTATGGTCTCTCAAATTGGACTGGGATGAGCCCGCTCCAAAGGATATTGTCGATGTCTGGAGACCTTTTGTTGATGGACTTAAATGCCTTTTTTCACTAAATATACCTAGATGGGTATCAATAGAATATCCAGTCTCTGCTGAAATCCACTGTTTTTGCGATGCATCGCAACGCGCCTATGGTGCATTCTTGTACCTTCGCTCTACAAATAAAGAAGGACAAATACATGTCCAACTTTTATGTGCGAAATCTCGCGTTGCCCCAGCATCCAGCCCTATTACAATTCCTCGTTTGGAGCTTTCAGGTGCTCTTCTGGCAGCTGAAATGAGCTCATCTGTGACCAAAGCCTTGCGACGTAAAATATCGCGTCATGTCTATTGGACTGACTCGAGCGTAGCTCTTAGTTGGTTGCGCTGCGGTTCTTCTAACATGAAAGCATTCGTTGCCAACAGAGTCGCCGCCATTAGAGAGCTGACTGACGCAAATTCATGGCACCACGTTCCTACAGAACACAACCCAGCTGACCTGCTATCCCGTGGCGTGAACCCACAACAGATCGCTGCATGTGATATGTGGTGGTATGGACCTAAGTTTTTATCGTTGCCAGAGTCCGAGTGACCTTCTATGCAGTCGCAGACTATTATTGAGATGAAGAATTTGCCGGAAGTTAAAGCACATCCAGTTGCTATTTGTGATAATTATCAATCAATTATTAACTTTAACAAATATTCTAAAATAAAACAATTACAACACATTTTAGCCTATGTACATAGATTTATTAATAACTGTAAAAATTCTAAAACTAAAATTACAGGTTCCTTAACTACCGCCGAGCTCAATAAAACTCTTAATTCATTAGTGTATATTTCCCAATTAGAGGCATTCCCTAAAGAATACGACTTATTATTAAAAGGAAATTCCCTAAGTCCTAAGTCGCACATTTCGGCACTTAATCCATTTTTACATGACGGAGTGATAAGAGTAGGTGGTCGAATTCAGGCTTCTGAATATAGTTTCGATATGAAGCATCCCATGTTGTTAAGCTCTAAACACCATTTTACTCAACTTTTATTCCAACAAGAACACGTACGGCTTCTACATCTGGGGCCCCAAGCCTTACTGGCTTCTATTAGAACGCGTTTTTGGCCCATTAGTGGAAGAAGTCTGGCTAGACGTACTGTGCATAATTGCACCATATGTAGGCGTTTTAAGGGTCAGTCTATGAAAAACATAATGGGCAACCTACCTGCTCAAAGACTAATGCCCGACTTTCCTTTTATTACAGTAGGGACTGATTTCGCTGGGCCATTTATGGTCACGGATCGCAAAGGTCGTGGTTGTAAAATTACAAAATGTTATTTGTGTATTTTCATGTTTTAGGTATAAGTGCATCCATTTGGAGGCTGTTAGTGAGCTGTCCAAGGATGCTTTTATATTAACTTTGAGACGCTTTGTTTCACGGAGAGGGCTACCAAAGCAGATATTCTGCGACAATGGTGGAAACTTTGTAGCTGCTTCAAAGGAACTTAAAGAGTTTTTTGAAGTTAATGCCAAAACTATCGCTAATTTTGCCGCTAACGAAGGCGTTGAATTTTGTTTTTCGCCTGCATACGCTCCTCACTTCAATGGTTTGATGGAGGCCGGTATAAAGTCAGCCAAATTCCACCTGGCTAGGATATTAGGGACTACGCACCTAACCTATGAGGAATTGTCATCTTTGTTCACACAAATAGAATGTATCCTAAATAGCCGCCCCCTATGTCCATTAAGTTCCTCTCCCACGGACTATTATCCCTTAACTCCGGGCCACTTTTTAATTGGTAGACCACTAAGCTCGCTGCCATCTCCGTGTCTACAATCCGCTAATGCCAATCGTCTCGACAGATTCCAGCGCATCGAGCAGTTTAAGCAACACTTTTGGCGACGCTGGAGCCACGAGTACATTGCGGAGCTGCAGTTGAGGACGAAGTGGCGCACGAAGTCCAAAGAGAGCCTACAAATTGACGACCTAGTCCTCTTGAAAGAGGAAAACGCTCCACCGCTCTATTGGCGTCTCGGACGTGTAAGAAAACTCTTCCCGGGATCTGACGGATTGACACGCGTCGCAGATATAGACACTGCAAGAGGAATTGTGCGGCGCGCCCTAAACAGAATCGTCCTACTACCGAAGCCCGATGAGTTGGAAGATCTTGAAAGCTGTTAAGCTTTCCAGCGCCGGGAGTATGTCGGCGCCGTTACGACAGCACCGACGGTGTTTGCGGGGAGTATGTGAAGTGCGGGGGGTTTCTCACCACCGCGCCTAAGACCGGCACTCGCCGATAGCTCGCGACCCGATCGCCACCAAATATTTTGTATTTTTCATTCCTTTTAAATATACAATTTGCCTATCGTGTGAGTCGCCTATTTTATTCATGTTCCCTAACTGAACAGATTATGTTAGGAGTTCTATGATTGCATAATCATAATCCTTTAGTAAACACTAAAATGAAACTAAGAAATTACAAAGCCTACTTATCAACAGGCGGGTTTGCAACTGCAGTTTTTGTATTAGTTGAACATGAATGTTATAAAGACGTTGCTGACAATCTCCTGGGTTGTTTCCCTTTGTCGCCTCTTACGACACCCACGGAATGATATCGGGTAGGATATGAGTCTAAACCATGAAGCAAAATCTAAACTATCCAAAGGAGGATGGTTTAGATTCACTATTAGACCCGGTAGATGGTGCCGTTGTCGGGATTTAGAACTCATCCGTGAGAACAGGGGGCGGATCACTAGTACCACATAAATCTTATGATGTTTTCTTCAGAGCATGTGGTAAATCTGGAATTCATTTCAGTGGTACCGGTACTGGGCATCAGGTATCATGTTCACCAATAAAACAATATTGTTCTAAACTTTTAAATTTATTCATTGTACATACGGTAGTTAGCGGTTAATAAAATATGTTTTGTTTATTAAATATCGGTAAATTGTTCAATTTCGGTTTTAGTACAGACAGTAAATTATTTTTTGAGAATAATATCAATGTTTGTGAAAAAGTCAGAAGCCAAGTCTTCGTAAAATTAAAGAAATATGTCCAGAAATTGCAGATTGAAATTAAACAAAAGCACTATTGAATTATGTATCTAAAATGGCGTATGTATCTAACAAAAAATCAAATACTCAATTTAATCCAAAAGAAAATATTGGTTTCTATATATATATATATATAATCTTCGTTTCCTTCTAGGCAGATAAATTAAAAAAAAATTTGAATTCTAGATATGGCTTCAGTGATTTCACGCTTAATCAATACTGTTTATGAGTAAGAGATTTTTATTGAACTTTTATAAAAAGTACGGCTTAGGGGTATAAATTAACGAGCTCATCAGACTTAACGACTAGAATTACATTAAGGCCAGGTTGGACAATATAACGTATTTACTATTTAGACCCGATTGGCGCTTGAGAATTGATATTTCTCGAAATAGAATATGCTCTGAAAAAAAATATACATACAGGAAATATGCAATTAAATTATTAATCAAATGAATTTTTATAATAATCTACATTAATCGAGACAAAAAAAGTATAATTTATTTACCGGGCAAAAAACTAAACATTTGAGTTCTCGTTTTTTAAGCTAAAATTAATATTTTTCGATATTATGAAAGCATATCATTGAATAAGATTCTTTTAATCGGATATATTTTTATTTAAATCCATTATTTCCTGCTTTTTGCTTATATAATAAAATAACTTTGTCCACCGAATGTTGCACGTTTGCTCCGTGTTGGACAAATATGCATGCAGCGGAGAAGCAAGCGCTTAAGAGTTTTAAAGTCGGAAATTCTCGCCCTAAGTCAACGCACACTACGTCAAATCTTCATACATACATACATATAAACTTGTTTGAACATAAGGTTTTATGATTATAACTTTGAAAGATGTTTTTTATATGTATTGGAATAAATGTAGGTCAAGTCTTTAAAAGCCTTTTGTTCACTGGCCTAGCGCAATTCTAGTCTTATCCGTCATCCTCAATCCCGTAATGGTGTGGCAGGTGAGGTTCAAATTGCGTGCTACTTGTGGTCTCGTTTGGCGCCACTGAGCACGACGTATGGGGATTGCGTCTCTCGCTGCTTCTCCTGCAACATCTGCAATGTGCCCAGAGGTGTGTCCGTCGAACTCATCTTTTTCATCAGCTGAGGAATACAATGATTTAATTAGTATACTAACATTTAAATCTGTCATTTTGTCGACAAACATAAAACAACGAAAAATTGTTCAGGATCGAACAATTTTTAAAATAAAAAATTAAATCCATCTATTATCAATTACAGTCTATAAAACTCCACTTCTGAACATAGGCCATAGATTGTCTCATAGGGGGTATTTTGCCATAGTTGCCACACTTGGCAATCGGGTCGGCAATCGCAATTCTTTAAAAAGTTGTCAGAAAGATGCTGCTGCCCATCTTACATTTCAGTTTCCCCACGTCACCTTCATACGGGTAGTGGATATTCTTACACCGCCACTACACGGTTAATTTATTAAATTAAGTACTGTATTCAGACAGTAAATTAAATTATTAAGATAAAACTTAATTTCCATTAAAGTTTAAACATACTGATTGAATATTATATTAGACCTTGAATATAAACTGGATAACTAAGAGCTTTAAATCGTGAAAAAGTTTTAGAGGCATTTGCTCTGCACTGAAGAATATGTAGATAATATTAAGATTTTATATTCATAATTTCATTTACAATATTTTAGAAGAGAGTATTTACACGACATAACATGATACTTATTCTTTATTTTTGGAAAGATGATAAAACCAAAGCAAAAGTAGTACCCCGGGAAGTTTTCTCCGCTGAGAACAAGCATAAAACGTATTTTTGATCTTTTTTCATTGATTCTTAATTATATAAAAAAAAGATCATGGACAGAATACACAGAAGAACGGCAGTGTTTGGGACATAGCATCCACTTACCAAGAAGTACGATATTCGCTCGTTTGTCACCTATTGATCATGAAAACATCGTCTAACATCAGGACAAAGCCAGGTGGCAAGCCTGATTTCAAAACATTGACAAAGTGAAGAATATAGTTAGCAAGACTGACCCCTTCCTGCACGGCTTTCTTGATGCGCTTCTCCTGCTTGTTCTTGCCGGGCCCCTTGCCGTGGAACTTGTGCGAGAGGTAGCGGAAGGCCTCCTTGGGGCAGAGCGGGCGGCCGTCGTCGTCCACGTACTCCAGCTTGACGTGCGGCCGGAAGCCCGACTTCTCGCGGAACTCCTGCAGCGGCCCGCAGTGCGACCGCTCGCGCCGCCCGTACTTGTCGTCCTCGCCGCTGCCCACGTACACAATCATTCATTCATTATTATTAATTATTATAATTAAAACAATTATTATTGCCATCGGAATACTAATCCATGAATATAATACGTAGGTCAAATTGCGTTTATATTAATTAATAATTTTTCGTTTATATTTAATCAGTTTTAAAAAATAAAATCGAGCACCTCCTCAATATTGACTTAGTAATTGAATAGCAAATTCAAACTTATATTATTAAGATTTGACTCTAAAATACCAGTCTTAATGTGGCTTTTTTGTAATTTTTTTAAAACTGAAGTGACGAACGAAGTTACAATCTATCTGATGGTAAGTGATTTCTGCAGTCCATGGACACCTGCAGCTAATTTCAAACAAAGAAGGCTACGGATGCGTTGTACCCTCTAAGGATGAGGACTAAGATGTAATACCTCACGGCCTCATATATAATTATACTGGCTCTCTTTAACGTTCAAAGAAGAACACAGCTATCAGCTGACTAGAACAGCTTTAGGAAGTCTACAATATTATCTCCTCATGACGAATCTGGTTCGACGAACTAATGTTTGAGGAGCTTACAACAGGAAATTTCCTCGTGTCATTCTTCACCTCCGTTGAATACGTGACAAATACAAAGGTTTGAATTAACAAATTCATTGGTGTCAGCGAGAATCATACTATGTGCAATTGATTTTGGGGTCGGCAGCCTCGAGGGAAGCCTGTTGGTTTTCAACACATCCGTCAGAGGCGCCGCTTGGGGAGTTCACAATAGCATGATATACTCTCGCCTATCGTGTCCCTTGTTGAGCGCCAGTTGTATCCTGCTGGTAGGTGCACTCACGTGTGGCTCTTGTCCTCGATGGAGTAGTGTCGCGCGGCGAGCTGGTGGGTGCACTCACGTGTGGCTCTTGTCCTCGATGGAGTAGTGTCGCGCGGCGAGCTGGTGGGTGCACTCACGTGTGGCTCTTGTCCTCGATGGAGTAGTGTCGCGCGGCGAGCTGGTGGGTGCACTCACGTGTGGCTCTTGTCCTCGATGGAGTAGTGTCGCGCGGCGAGCTGGTGGGTGCACTCACGTGTGGCTCTTGTCCTCGATGGAGTAGTGTCGCGCGGCGAGCTGGTGGGTGCACTCACGTGTGGCTCTTGTCCTCGATGGAGTAGTGTCGCGCGGCGAGCTGGTGGGTGCACTCACGTGTGGCTCTTGTCCTCGATGGAGTAGTGTCGCGCGGCGAGCTGGTGGGTGCACTCACGTGTGGCTCTTGTCCTCGATGGAGTAGTGTCGCGCGGCGAGCTGGTGGGTGCACTCACGTGTGGCTCTTGTCCTCGATGGAGTAGTGTCGCGCGGCGAGCTGGTGGGTGCACTCACGTGTGGCTCTTGTCCTCGATGGAGTAGTGTCGCGCGGCGAGCTGGTGGGTGCACTCACGTGTGGCTCTTGTCCTCGATGGAGTAGTGTCGCGCGGCGAGCTGGTGGGTGCACTCACGTGTGGCTCTTGTCCTCGATGGAGTAGTGTCGCGCGGCGAGCTGGTGGGTGCACTCACGTGTGGCTCTTGTCCTCGATGGAGTAGTGTCGCGCGGCGAGCTGGTGGGTGCACTCACGTGTGGCTCTTGTCCTCGATGGAGTAGTGTCGCGCGGCGAGCTGGTGGGTGCACTCACGTGTGGCTCTTGTCCTCGATGGAGTAGTGTCGCGCGGCGAGCTGGTGGGTGCACTCACGTGTGGCTCTTGTCCTCGATGGAGTAGTGTCGCGCGGCGAGCTGGTGGGTGCACTCACGTGTGGCTCTTGTCCTCGATGGAGTAGTGTCGCGCGGCGAGCTGGTGGGTGCACTCACGTGTGGCTCTTGTCCTCGATGGAGTAGTGTCGCGCGGCGAGCTGGTGGGTGCACTCACGTGTGGCTCTTGTCCTCGATGGAGTAGTGTCGCGCGGCGAGCTGGTGGGTGCACTCACGTGTGGCTCTTGTCCTCGATGGAGTAGTGTCGCGCGGCGAGCTGGTGGGGCGCGGGGCGGGGCGCGGGCGCTGCGCCGGCTCGCTCCAGGTATCCCTTGCTGAGCGCTAGCTGCAGCGCGCCGGCAACTCCACCGCCGAGAGCCGGCTCTGCGTCCAGGGCCACCGACGATCCTGTAAACCCATCAACCTTCTTAACAAACTTCTCATCATTATGGTCCACCAAGAGGGAGGTGTGGTGTGATATGGAAGTGTGGTGTGGAAGTGTTGTAAGATGTGGAAGTGTGATGTGGAGGTGTGGTGTGGTGTGGTGTGGAACTGCAATGTGAAGTGGAAGTGTGATGAGGAAGTGTGGTGTGGAAGTGTTGTGAGGTGTGGAAGTGTGGTGTGAAAGTGTGGTGTGTTGTGAGGTGTGGAAATGTGATGTGGAGGTGTGGTGTGATGTGGAAGTGCGATATGAAGTAGAAGTGTGATTAAGAAGTGTGGTGTGGAAGTGTTGTAAGATGTGGAAGTGTGATGTGGAGGTGTGGTGTGGTGTGGTGTGGAACTGTGATGTGAAGTGGAAGTGTTAAAAGGAAGTGTGGTGTGGAAGTGTGATGAGGAAGTGTGGTGTGGAAGTGTGATGAGGTGTGGTGTTGAACTGTGATGAGGAAGTGTGGTGTGGAAGTGTGATGAGGAAGTGTGGCGTTGATGTGTGATGAGGTGTGGTGTTGAAGTGTGATGAGGTGTGGTGTGATGAGGTGTGGTGTTGAAGTGTGATGAGGTGTGGTGTTGAAGTGTGATGAGGTGTGGTGTTGAAGTGTGATGAGGTGTGGTGTTGAAGTGTGATGAGGTGTGGTGTTGAAGTGTGATGAGGTGTGGTGTTGAAGTGTGATGAGGTGTGGTGTTGAAGTGTGGTATGGTGTGGTGTAGAAGTTTGGTGTTAAATAGTGATGTAGTGTGTGCAGCACTAGGGTGGTGTGGAGCGGCGCACGCACCGGCGGCGAGGTCGCGCGGGCGCTCGCTGCGCACGTCGACGCGGCTCCAGGCGCCGGCGTTGTCGCCGCCTGCCTCCGCCTCTGTCTCCATCTCCTCACGCTCGAAGTCCTGCAGGTCACAACAAATTAGTTATACTCTATCTGAGCGTTAAACAATGAGTAGGACAAAACTGTTTGTTTTTAACATCAATGATTAAAATACAAAACTCCATGCACTAACAATGATCTCCGCGTGATGGCCCCGGTTGCCGGCCAGGCCGTACGTGGGTATGTCTCCCAGCGTGCGGCAGAACTCAGCCGTGGCGTCCAGGACCATGACCCCGGACAACTCCGCCTCCATTTCCTCTTCCTTCTCCTCCTTCACGCGCTCCAGGATCTCCTCTACCTGACATATTAAATTTACTTTATAATGACATTATTTCATTTAGAGATACATGAGGATTAATTAACCAAGAGAAAACAGATTTTTTATATAAGTATCACTAGAATTTATTTTATTTAAAAAAAATACTTTAACATTACTGATATTCCCGTTGTTCCCTTTAATCTTTGGTAAGCTTAAAATGCTTGTGTTAGCAGTGGTTCACTATCGAATGGTGGATTCAAAGCCACGACCTTTTAATTTCGACTATCTACTGACTGAATACTGTCGCTTCACAGTAAAATAAGGGTTTCATATTCGAATAAGGGCTTCTCTATGTGACAAATTAAACCTTAAAGCATTTCATATACGTCAAGAAACATACATGGCAACAATTGTCAAAAAAAAATCAAATAATTAAGGATACTGCTTTTCATCTGCAATAAATATTATATGTAATAAATATTATTTTTGTTGCCTCCAAATTATTCGTATTTCTCAATTAATCATCATAAGACAGACAAATGCGTTGTAGCTCCTTAAGGCCAAGATAGACCTCAAACTACACAAAATGCTAAGCATTATTGAGGCTTCTTCCCATTTGTGTTGCTTTTTTTATAAATCTGTCTAATAAAGCTACAGCATGGTTATACAATATAACAAACTTATTATAACATACCTTGGGCACATTGAGTTGCCGTTCTTCCATCTGTCTCAATCTCCTTGCCCGAGCCAGTGCGGCCTGCAGTTCACTGTCTGGTTCCACTTCCTCGTCGTCAACTGTTATTTGCATCTTCAGTTCACTTGGTTTTACATCTGGCAAATGAGACATTTACTATATAACTAATACAAAATTACGTCCGATCTATGTGGTGAAAGTTCGTCCACAATAACTCCTTTGCATTTTGTCAGTTTTCATGAATTTAATGATCAATTTGTTACCATACTTTATCACATACAATAACCATAACTAAAATTTGAAACTAGTTGCTCTAAAAATTTTCGCATTAAAATCAATTGATGTATGTTTTAATTTTTCTTTTTTATAGACTAAGGTTTATATTCAACTAGCTGTTCCCCGCGACTTCGCCCGCGTGAAATTTATTACGATTGGATTTCATGGCTTTTAATTTTATTGCGCGGAACCCTAATTATTTCTCTAAGACAAAAGTAGTCTAAGTTACTGCTTATAAAAATCAGTTATCTGTTAGTGAAAGTCCCGTCAAAATCGGTACAGCCGTTTCGGAGATTAGCCGGAACAAACAGACAGACAAAAATTTTAAATTATATTTTTGTTATAAGTACCTATATATGTTGTATATACTTTCATATGCATTTAGTAAAAAGCTGTTACTTTGACATTACAAACAAGCACTTCAGTTTTATTTATTTGTATGTATGTATGTATAGATTAGGAATCAAAATGCAGAATTCTTTGAGGTAGTCCTCAGATGGAATGCCTGGTTTCCAGTAAAAAGGTTCTCCGGTTCTCTACACTCACCATACGAAACACAGCAGCATTAAGCAGCTATTTTACGCTGGTGTTCTGTGAGAGCGTGGTCCTTCCCCGGTCGAGCCGACCCATTCGTGCTACAACCATATTACAGCTGCAGCATGGTTCTACACGTAAGTTTTCTATAGAATAGTTATCAAGTAATTATTCTAAAAAAAACGTCACGTTCCCCAGCTGCGCAATGGCAACATATGAGAGGGTTATAAAAATTTGTCCGATGCAAAGCTCAAGTGCGTGTTGGTGAACACAGACATTCAGGTTTCCTCACGATTTCTCTTCACAGCTGAGCGTGTGGTAAATCAGCACTCGAAATTTCAATTAACAATTTCATAGGTGCCGGCGAGTTTCGAAACCTGGTTGTGAGACACAGCGAGTGCTTAGCTCCTGAACTGAGCCATGGTATGGCTTATTACAATTAATCAGACAAACATTGATATTAAAGATTTGTAGTTTGCAACAAAAACTCACCTGTATCATCTGTTTCCAGAGGAACAGCCCCAGCGTCATAGTCGTCCACATCAATAGGCTCTTCTTTGGGTCTTTTACGCATTTTCCCCTGTAATTATTATGTGATACTAGCTTCATTTATTCAATTATTTGCTCATCATCATCATCATAGTGACAGTCCTTCACATGTCCACTGCTGACCATGGGCCAGGAATAAATTCCACAAAACGATTACTAGCAAACCTATTTGCTAACTTTGTTGACATCAAAATTATATTGACCTTGTAGTACATTACGATGATTGCTAAATAGCTTTTATATGAGAGCTACTACGGTAACAGTGGAAACTGAATGAATAAATAGGTAGCTGCATATTTTTGCCAAGCCAGCTCCAACCCGCTTGAAATGTGTGGCAAATGTGGCAAAACTCCCCCTATGAGACAATTTGTTCAGCAGTGGACTTTATAGGCTGTAAAGGAAAACTTGCCACATAACCTTACTAAAGTGGTGTCATTGCGAAAAATAGAACTAGTACCATCAGTAAAAGAGTAAAACCTTATTAGTGAAATAGTGTATTTAACAAATTAGGTATAGCTAAGGTACCTTTTTCTTGGGCTTCTTGAACTTGGCCTGTATTTCATGCTCGTCGTAGTAGTCCGTGGCGGGACGAAGCGCCGGCAGCTGAAGTGACTCCAGGCGCTTATCGGGGCCACCTTGGATTCGTTCTTGTCTCTATGTAATTCAAACATGGAATAAACATTAATTCAATAATGGAAGTACAGCGTGGAAAATATTTTTAAAGAAAATATGCCCGGTTGTGCATTAAGATATTGTTAGACACAATATGGAGCAAAAAATGAACGTGATTTCGGTTTATTATCGTAAATATAGCATATATTTACCGAATAATCTTTAATTTTTATTATTTCTAGTAGATTGTTCTAGAACATTTATTTAATAAGCGCCCTCTGTTATCCAATAAACGTCACTATTTAGTTACCAATTTTAAAGTTAGTGATTGACGACATTTATCGATTGGGATTATCGATAAAAAATATACAGCATGCCGATTTAATCCTTTACAATATTTAAGGAGGTAAAACAGTCAACGATACTGTACTTATACCAACAAAAATGAGTAGCATATACCAACTATGCTAAGTAGCCTACTTTATGTGGAGCAAGAGTGGGATTTTTTTTTAAGGCATACTGATGAGATTTTCTGTGTTGCTTATGAGCATGCTGAGGATAGGGCAACGGAACCCAAGGGGCCAGCAGCTGGCCGACTTCATGGAGAAAGAGGGACTCTTTATGATGAACTCTTTCTTCCAGAAGCGGCCCCACAGGAAGTGGACCTGGTCGAGCCCCGACGGTTCGACAAAAAATGAGATTGACTTCATTATGACGACCAGACGACAACTGTTCAGTGATGTCTCCGTGATCGCGAGGGTGAAAACTGGTAGCGATCACCGAATGGTTAGAGGCACACTGAACCTAAATGTTAAGTTGGAGAGGTCTCGTCTAATGAAGTCAACGCTCCGTCCCCCTCGTGCTCTAATCCAAAGTCCCGAAACCTTTCAGCTCGAGTTACAAAACCGTTTTCAGTGCCTAGAAGACTGCAATGAAGTGGACGATATGAATGACAAGCTCGTGGAAACTGTCCATGCGGTCGGAGCTAAGTTCTGCAAGACCCGCCGCAGAAGAACACAAAACTCTCCGATCACACTCTTAATCTCATGGCTGTTAGACGGGAGATGAAGCTACATTCCTCAACAGACTTGACAGCATACAGGCATCTGAACAGACAGATCTCCAAATGCATGCGGCGGGCCTTACGCAACTTCAATACAGCTCGTATTGAAGAAGCGATCGAGCGGAACCAAGGCTCCAAAGTCTTTGCCAGAGATTTGTCTGCCAGAAAGAGCCAACTGTCAAAGCTGAAGACAGAATGTGGCAGCATCGTTTCCGGTACACCTGAGATTTTGAGTGAGATTGAGAGGTTCTATGGGCAGTTGTACACGTCATCGTTGGAGCCACACGCAAGTGTGAGTAACGATCCAAGAGCGAGTCTCATCTGACACTATTCCGAAGATATCCCGGACGTCAGTCTGAGCGAGATTAGAATGGCTCTCCAGCACCTTAAAAACGGTAAGGCCCCAGGCGAGGATGGAATTACAGCGGAGCTTCTGAAAGCGGGTGGAAAACCGGTACTTGAAGTCCTTCAGAAGCTCTTTAATTCCGTCCTCCATGGAGGCATTACACCGGAGGCGTGGAGCAGAAGTGCGGTGGTCTTGTTCTTCAAGAAAGGTGACAACGCTCTCTTGAAGCACTACAGACCGATTTCCCTTCTGAGCCGCGTCTACGTGCTGTTTTCGAGAGTCATTACGAATCGTCTTGCGCGCAGACTTGACGACTTCCAGCCTCCCGAACAAGCCGGTTTCCGAAAGGGCTTTAGCACCATAGACCACATACATACCCTTCGGCAAATTGTACAGAAGTCCGAAGAGTACAATTCGCCACTATGTCTGGCGTATGTGGACTATGAGAAAGCCTTTGATTCCGTCGAAATTTGGGCGGTGCTGCAGTCCCTTCAGCGGTGCCAAGTTGACTGTCGGTATATCGAAGTGTTGAAGTGCTTGTACAGTAGGGCTACGATGGCTATCCGAGTACAGAACCAGAGTACGAAACCTATCCAATTGCAGAGAGGTGTAAGACAGGGTGACGTCATATCCCCGAAACTCTTCACCGCTGCATTGGAAGACGTTTTCAAGCTTCTGGACTGGAAAGGATACGGTATCAACATCAATGGCGAGTACATCACTCACCTTCGATTTGCCGACGATATAGTCCTTATGGCAGAATCGCTGGAGGACCTAAGCACTATGCTCAATGACCTCAATAGTGTTTCCTAACAGATAGGTCTTAAGATGAACATGGACAAAACTAAGATCATGTTTAATGTCCATGTCACACCTATGCCGGTAGTTGTTGGGAACACTAAGCTCGAAGTTGTTGACAGTATGTTTACCTGGGACAAATAGTCCGACTAGGTAAGTCCAACTTCGACCGAGAGGTCAATCGACGGATTCAACTCGGTTGGGCAGTGTTCGGGAAATTACGGCACATCTTCTCGTCAGGTATACCTCAAACCTTGAAAACGAGACTGTACACCCAGTGCGTGTTGCCAGTGATGACATACGGAACTGAGACGTGGTCCTTCACTGCTGGCCGGATGAGGAAGCTCAAGGTCGCTCAGCGAGCTATGGAGAGGGCTATGCTCGGAGTTTCTCTGCGTGATAAACTTAGGAATGAGGATATCCGCAGTAGAACCAGAGTAACCGACATAGCCCAACGGATTAGTAAGCTGAAGTGGCAATGGGCCGGCCATATAGCTCGAAGAACCGACAACCGATGGGGAAGAAAGGTTCTCGAGTGGCAGCCTCGTACCGGTAGGCGAAGTGTAGGGCGTCCCCCCACGTGATGGAGTGACGACCTGGTAAGACATGCAGGAAGTCGATGGATGCAGGTGGTTCAGGACCGTGCTTTGTGGCATTCTTTGGGGGAGGCCTATGTTCAGCAGTGGACTTGTGAAGGGCTGTAATGATGATTGTTACGGCCTACGGCTGCTCCCTTAAAGGATCAGATCCTCAGGAGCCCATGAGCTGAAGACCTCCCGAGCAGACGTAGGTCGAGCCTCAATGTGGCCACGTGGAAATTCCTAATTACATTAAAATATATGGGGGAGCGTTATACTACGGCCAGTCGACCGGAAGGAATTTGGATGAAGCTTACTTACCTATCCAAGGCGACTGGTCCCTCCGGAGTCGGTCAGGTCGCATGTGGTTGTGTAGTGCAAGAGAAAGAATGGTGATGTGGTGTGTATCTGGGTGTGACTGATGGTGATTGAGCCTAGACCTTGGCCGTCGGCAGCAGCCCGAGCGTCGACACCGCTCCAACTTGAGGGGGCCTTTCGAGGTTATCCACAGTCACTTTCTTCTTTCGTCACGTTGACAGTCAATTAACTCTATCGTACGATTTACTAACTTACAGAAGCCACTAACTATCGCTGGTTATAAGGTTAACACACAAAACGCACACGGAGTTTACAGTTTATTAAAGGTCACTACCGTTTCGCGTCGCAACAGTTAATTCTAGAATATTAGAGGCCGCACTAGCTAATATTGCCTAATGCACTTATGCAGATTCTGAGTCAAACACAATGAGTCCCTGGGAAGCTCTCCAGCAGGAATGCGCGTCACAATGATAGACCGTATATTTACTGGCCGCGCCGAATTATTCCGAGTTCCCTAACAGAATACAGCGTGCCAATCGTTAGCACCGCTTATGGACGACTGTCCTTGGGCGTTTTACGCACGACCGAATGTCAAACCGGTATGACACTGAGCCGCACGCCCTCTCGCGTTCGTTCCTTGAAAGTGTTTGGCGCGAACAATGATGATGATGCTGAGGATACTTGCTGTGTTGATGTTTAGCAATACAGCAAGTCTTCTCTTTTACATACCAGGCTTCATTGTCTGGTAGTTTTACACCGGGCTTCATTGTCTGGTGGTTTTCAAGGACAAAGCCATTATAGATCCTCGCTTACAGTGATAGGAGAGGGCAATAGATTTCATACAATAAATACAATTTGTACTGTTAAAGATATTAGATGCAAGAAGTTGTAGGTTAAGCCTGAGTTAGAACATAAGGTAAAAACTTAAAACAACAATTTTTATTGATGTGGGTAGTGTCTTTAAGTACTGCAGCTGATGAAACGTGAAAAATCGTGAAACGGCTTTTAAATTCAGTGTTTTCCTAAAATATTTTAGATTTGAAGTGTATTTTTGTAATAGAAACGAATTTAAAAACATAGAGGCGCTCTCTTATTGGTTTTGTGTTTCTCGAAGTGTATTTAACGCCGACCAATCAATCATATGCTATTATTATAGCAGCTAATGGACCGAGTGACGTCATGCCACCAAGGTGGCAACCAAAGTGACTGCTGTTTGGATTGATTCTTGGTTATTGGAAATTAAATATTTTATTTGATAACACTAAAGGGGCGTTAGATTTATACAATAAAACAATCATGTATATTTCCTATTATTATATCTAAAAGCATTTCAAACTTAGTAATCTTCAACAACATTATCGATACTTTGATATTGAAACGGTAACATTCCTAAAACGAGGTTATATTTATTAGCGTCACTATATAATATAGGAATAGCTAAAATGTTGTCTTAATAAATGCTTAGCGTTGTTTTGCTATTTTTAGCTAGAGGGTGCCACACGCGCATTAGATCAAAGTTTTTGTATATAAATGTTCCCAATGTCTGCTCTATAGTATACTTATATATTTAAATCTCTTTGATCGCGATGAACTTCGCTTGCGCGGCCACATTTCAGTCTGCCCACTGGAGGTGGGCAAAGTGTATCATTTTTGCGATTGGAACATTTGCATCTCGATCACTGAAATGTTCCGAAACACTGATATGTTTCATTTTGCTCATTTGGATCATCGACTCAAAAGATATAAAATACAGAATGTTCCTAATACATTAAGTTGCGTCGCAGGCGTTTATTACTGACTGATCAGTGAAATGTTATGTTATGTTATTATATATTATTTATTTCATCATCATCATCATCATCATTACAGCCCTTCACAAGTCCACTGCTGAACATAGGCCTCCCCCAAAGAATGCCACAAAGCACGGTCCTGAGCCACC